TACTGTAATCGAAAAGGAAGCCTTGGCATTGGTTTGGGCACTCCAGCATTTTGATGTCTATGTTGGGGGGGGTGGATTGCCGGTGGTTATCTATTGTGACCACAACCCTTTGACGTTTTTGACAACTTTACAAAATCCTAACCAACGTTTAATGCGATGGTCTTTATTTTTACAGCCGTACAATTTGGAGATTCACCACATCAAGGGGAAGGAAAATATTTTGGCGGACGCCCTTTCTCGTGCACCGGTCTCTTGAAGTGATAGAGATATGTCGATTTGTGTCCTGTTTCTTATTTGTTGATTGTGTATAGGTTTTTTTTTTTTTTTTTTTTTTTTTTTTTTTTTTTTTTAACTTTTTTTTGGGGAGGAAGGTGTGACGACCCCTTGTGGTCGTTTGTGGCTGGGGTGTGGGTGTCGGTCTGTGCATCTGTGTGTGTGTGTGTGTTGCAGGTCCAGCTGATTGCGCTGGTATTGAGAACACCGGTTTGTGATTGAGTTGCTCTGCTATAAATAGCGTGTTCGTTTCAGACGAGGAGAGGCTGCACGTGGAATCTGGTCACTTATCTTTCGGCTGGGATCGGTTTTGGACCTGATGGGCTAGCAACATGACCTTTGATAATAGTAAATAAATATATTTTTGTACCGCAATTGTACTCGACTTCTCCTTATTTGTGGTGACCGGTTTAGGTCATAACAGCTGTATTTATATCAAATAATTGTTGTGTATTGAGTGTGAGATGGGACTCGCATATCAGGAATGTGAGTAATTTGTGTTGGCCACACTTCGAATAATCCTTCGAAATGATTAGGAGTTTGGCCATCTGTTTGCTTTTAATGAGACTCCTGTTTTTGTTATTGTAGACTAGTTTAGTAAACAAAAAGAAAGAAGAAATGCCCCCATGTGTTTAGTGTTTTTACTTATCGCAAACACAACAGTAATTTGGTAGTGTTGGTGCTGCTTTGGCTTTTTCGGGGATAATTACTGTGATCTCCTGGTTGCAAGAGAGAATACTGCGAAATCTCTGTTGACTGATGGCATTTCATGCCGTTCAGTCGTATAATTTTAAAATGTCAGCAAAATCAAATGTTTTGTCATCACTTTAGTCATGACTCATTACGATAGAGAATCATTCAACTGCTAGCCCTAAAGTGACCTTTGTGAACTAGTAACGGTTTCTGCTGCTCTGACATCAGCTGCAAATGTGAATGAATGGCGGAAGAAAGTAGTTCCGTATACAAAAGATTTTTAAGACTCTCCATGTTTGATTTTCTTATTTATACATATGATTATGCCATTGAACTGTTGTATAAAAGCAACATAACACTCTTAGCAGCGCAATATGGCTGTATATCGCCAGCCTCCCATCAGTGCCGATATACAACCACATCGCATTGCAACTCGTGTATATTTATGATATAACATGTTTAAACATTGTTTCTGTGCATCAAGTTAATTAAAACTTTAAAAAATATTTAATTGGCAACTAGTTTAATTAAAAATATTTGTAATTAAAATAAGTCTTTATATATTTTATTTCAGTATTTAATTATCTCAAGTGACAGTGGTTTTAATTTTATGAATTAAATGATTTAAACGTTCAATCATTCATTAAATTCAATTACAAATTTTAGTTAAATCTTTATATAATATTTTAGAAAACTAAAATAACACTGCAAAAATATTTAAACCAGCTGTAATAAAAAAAAAATTATAATTTTACTCTTTCATTTTGGTTAATGCTTATTTTATTCCAAGAAACAAAAAAATATTCTAATTGCATTGTTTTTGTTTGCTGTTATAACCATGAGAAATATTTCCTTGACAAACCTGTTTGAAAGCTTTTTTTTTTTTTTTTTTTTTACAAGTCTAATTGTATTTCAAGCAACAAAAAGTCACGCCTGTTCTAGGTTAGACTAACATTTGTTTTTGAAGCTAGTTTGTCAAGCCTGTTCATAGTCAGGTTCTAGTGTTCATGTTTTGGTTATTTTTGTATTTTGTGAACCTGCAATAAACTGTACAAAAGATCTCAAACATACAGTACAGTGAAGTAAATGTTAAACAACAATAGTTTAAGGCAACAAAAATACTCCGTAAAACTAAAATAATACAGTGTAATAGGTGTTTTAAAAGGCGTATTCAATAAAATTTAACTCGAATAATTAATTAACCCCTTATGCACTGTTTAAATTGACTACCCTTTTTTATGTTAGGGATGAAAACATCCACTAATTTAAACTGCTGTGAGAATGCATGAGATTAATATTTGTTTACATTTTTTGCATAAATTTCAAAATAACAGAATTTTAACTTGTTATTTGCCAAATGTATAAATAATGTCAGGGATTTGGTAAAAAAAAAAAAGAAAAAAAAAAAAAAGAAATTTTTTTATATATAAAAAGTAATTGTGGACTGATTTTGTTTAACTTTTTATCACAGTAATAGTAACAGCATTGCCTTTGCTGCATTGTTAGTTTTTTTTGTGCAGCATAACATTTTCATTTTTTTCTCCCTAATTTACTGTTACTGGTTGTTTGCCCTGTTGACTTCTATTATAACCACATTTTTTGATTGCAAAACCTTTAAAAAAAGCTTAGTTTCTGGATTTTTAAAGGAGTAAAACAGCAAATTAAAGTGTGTGTATGTGTGTCTGTGAGTATGTGAGAGTGACATTTACGCACTTATCTTGATGTGTCTGAGAAAATCTAAACATGCATCTCAGCTCTCAGAACTACACGGAGTAAACAAAAACAAAGACTGTATTTATGCACCATCAAATGTGGTTATAATGGAAGTCAATGGGGCAACAACAGCCACCAATAGTAAATTAGGGAGAAAACATGAAAATCTAACAATGCGTCAAAGGTATTGTTGTTACTAACTGTTCAAATGTCCAAGTCTGGGATAAATATCCAGTCCACAATTACTTTTTATATTAAAAATACATAGTTTTGTGTGTTTTCGTCAGCAAATCAGTGACATCATTTGTGAACGTTGCATTAAAGATTTAAAATGCTGTAATTTTCTAAGCAACTTAGTAGTTTTGTTCAGGGCTGAGGATGATTAACAGATTTATGCAAAAAAAAAGGAAAAACAAATTTTATCTGATGCATTTTTACAGTAGTTTAATTTGGTGGATGTTTTCATCCATAAAATAATAAAAGAGTAGTCAATTTGCTCAGAGTGTATTGTTGAATTTTTATTTTATATATATTCAAAGCATTTTCCCAAAATGTGTCAAAATTCTACCAAAAATAATTCTACTAGCTAAAACACAGAAAAAGTTATGGCCAAATAAAGACTCAAAATCACCCCAGAGTGGATGAAAACATCCCCAACGGCACAAAAGGGTTAATTGTAGCGCGAGACACTGCAGGCAAATACATTTTTTAAATACTTGTCATTTTTGAGATTTTAAACTTTTTAACAAGAACATCCAGAATATACAATGAAGTGTTTATTTTTTCACACTTTATCCATTTGTGTCTGTAGATTTCAAGCCCAATACACATTTTTAAAGGCTGTTTTCTCAAAATGTGTTTCTTTCTCTCTCCTGCATTGAGCCATAAATCTGCACTTTATTTGTATCTTTATTCTAAACATTATGGGCCCTATCATACACCCGGCACAATGTGGCGCAAGGTGCAACGCAGTTGTTGTTTGCTAGTTTCAGCTTGGCGCAAGAGTTGTTTTAACGTTTTGCGCCACGCTGTTTAAATAGCAAATGCATTTGTGCTCATATGTGCGCCCATAAGCGTTCTGGTCTAAAAAGGAAGGCGTACTGAGGCGCATTGCTGGCGCGTTGCTATTTTGAGAAACTATAATACATTTTTCAATAGACCAAAACAAAGCCGGTCTATTGTCCAGCGTAGAGTTGCGCCTCGCTTACACATTGCTTAATACACACAAGTAGTAGAGCAATACGCAAACATCTTTACATATAAAAAAGAATTAAAATATTAAGGATATAAATATAAAGGATTAAAATATTACAAAACATAATATTTTCTAGCCTACATAAATTTAAAAACCCCTGCTTTCATACCTTCTTCATCTCGGGAGGCTTTTTAAATTTATTCATAAAAATTTGCTTTTGTATAATTTTATCATTATTATCAGTATTATTTATTATATCCATATTTATATTTGTTTTATTAAAAACAAGCTTAGATTTGCCCACCCGTCAGGTTTCAGACCATATGCGGCACAGCATGTGTATTTTACAACACTTGGTTACTATTGTTCATTTATTAGTTTGCTGGAAATTAAAACTGAATTTAGAAATAGTTTTGAAACAAATCTTTACACTTAACAAAATTAATTATTTATAGGCTAATTAATGTCTGTACAACACGTGTCCCTATCCACGAGAGCGAAAGTGAAAGTAGATTATGAGATGCCTTATCTCTCATTCTCGCGCTGCAGATGCTGTTTAACTGTTTTCTTGCAAGTGAAATGCTCCGTTTATCCACTTACAAAGTCGCCATGTACATAAAAATGCGCTTATAGCGCGACGCCACTGGCTCTTAAAGGGAATGGGAGATGAGACTCTGATTGGTTTATTCTCAAAACACACCTTTTAGACCATGCGCCATGGCGCAAAGCTGATTTTTCCGTCGTTATATTAGCAAAAGTGGATTCTGACATGCCCTGAAAGCGTTTGCGCCCTGCGCTTTGCACTTTGCGTATGGACCGTCAAAATAGAGCCCTATATTCTACAAAATGTCTGAATTATGAAGTGATAAACAGATATCATCGAAGTTCATGACATTATTATGTAAAAAAAATCCATCCGGTATTCAGATTGTTTTGTGCTAGAATACTATGCAAATTAGTGAATAATTATTGAAATAATTCCTCATTTGCATATTTAACAACATTTTAAAACACATTATACAAATAAAAATGTTTGCAATTCTTAGTAAACTGTGAAAATATGGTTTTAGCCTATTTATTTGCAGTGTCTGAACAAAAACAAAAATAAACAAAAAATAGTTCCTACTTTTTCGAAACGACTGGCTTTAATTTCTCCATAAGTGCTTGCAAACAGCCAGTTGTCTCTTGGCTTCAGTGATTTGACCATCGTGCTGCCCAGCGCAGTAAATGCATCTTTAATCTCATCAGTCAGCCTGAAAAAGAGACATGTATTAATAATTCAACCAGTGTTAATCCTGCTGATGGTGTGTGAAGGCTGTCAGGTTTTTTTTACTTTGGTGTAGGGTCCATGTGTGAAGCCACAAGAAGTATATTTCCTGGCTTTAGTGTCTTTAGAAAGGCCAGTAAATTCTTAGGATCTGCAGAGAAAAAATGAAGCTTTTCCATACGTCAAATATATTTTAACTTTATGTCATGAGA